TATACCTGAGCGTGGATGGCACATTCCTGTAATCTCAGCTACTCGGAGCTGAGACAGGAGAATCGCTTTAACCAGGGAGCAGAGGTTGCAGTGAGCCAGATCCCACCCCTGCACCCAGCCTGGCGACAGAGTGAGACTCCTCCTCAAAAAAAAAAAAAAAAGAATTAGGAACTCTGTTTGCCTCCATCATAGTCCCTTGTTCCCCACCACTATCTCTGAGATGGAAGGACTACAGATCCACAAGGAAAACAGGCAGGTGGTGCTCTACGCTGTGGCTATAACTGCTGTCACATTTTTGAGTGATGTGCTGTTCTTCACTCTCACCCTCATCAGTACTTCTCTTGTATATTCATCCTGAGACAGTGAGACAGCAATTTCCAGAAAACACCTAGGCAAGAAGGAGAGAAAGAATTAGCGGGAGTTCCTTGCATCCTAGGAGGATCATTCCCCATTAGCAACATACAGAAGGGGAAAGAAATAGGAAGAGCTGGTAGAAATGACCAGAAAAAAACAAAAAAAGACCAAAATGTACCTCATGTGGCCCCAGCCTTCAATCACTGGTTTGTGCGATGTGTCACTGTGGCTCTGTATTCTGAATACCAACGGTCTGGTTATCTGTGCAGTTGATGAGAAAGAAGCTCAGTGTTTTCCAGGACTGAGGACCCTCCTCATCTTATTTTATTTAGAGGCAGTGGAGTATATGGTTAAACATGTGGCACTGAAGCTGACAGTCTGGGTTTAAATCCTTATCCTGAGCCTTGCTGACTCTATAACTTTAAGCAAGATAGTTCAGTTCTCTGCCTCAATTGTTTCATCTGTAAAATGGGGATGATCTTGGTGTACCCGCTTCACAAAATTATTGTGAGAAGTAAATGAGTTAACACATGAAAGTGCTAAGAACAGAGTGACTGTTAGGAAAAGTGCTAATTGGTATATTTGTTAAGGGTCAGAAAGAGGAGAAGGCAGTTCTCACTTATAATCAGAGCTCTGGGCTCCAGTTCTGCCGCCTCTTGTTCTGATGTTATGTGGCTGCCCTTTCACTCCTATGATCACTCTTATTTTGCAACCCGTGTCACTAACTTCTCTGGAACTGCTGACCTCTTCCTACCCACACACCACCGCCCATGTCACTGCCTATCTTGACTAGATTTTTGAGAGTGTCAAAGAAAAATCATTAGAGTTTGAACAAGAGTTCATCTTGGGCAGCAGGATGACACCAGGGAGCATTAACAGTGACTGGGACTCGGACTGGGAACTGCTTATAGCACTGGGGCCATTGACGTTGAGGAGAGGAAATGGGGAAGGGGAATCAACACGGGGCCTGAGAATGCACAAGGCAAAAATCACTAGACCAAAGGAGCAAGAAATGTAACACGTAATCACTACATTGAAGAAAAGAGTCCTGGTTTCACTAAAGATTAAAGAACCTGTGCTAAGCAAAGAAACCAGTAAAAAGAATTCTGCACAAAGGCCATACTGAAAACAAGCATTTAAAAAATTTGAATAATTATGAGAAAATATGAAGCTTTCTATCAAAAAATAAGTTACATTAAAAAGGACAAAAGTTGGGATAACATCTGCAAGATGAAATGCCAAAGAACAAAAAGACAACACTTAAGATTTGAGAGAAAAAAGAAAGCAGAGACTCCCAATTTTGTACTAGTCCAGCTTTCCAGGTCAAAGAAAAATATTTTCTTAAATAAGAAAAAAGCTAGAAAATCCATTGTCTATGTAGCCCTCATGGAAAATTTACTTGAAGACACAAACGCAGTCAACTGACATATAAAGAAAAACTAAAGAATAGGAGCATGGCGCTTTATACTGATTTGCAGGTTTTTCTTGTTAGGAAATACTAAGTTTGGGGTTTTTTAAAGTAATTATAGTTAATTATTCTTAAAAAAAATAGAAAATATAGCAAATGTAATAATCCTACTCTAGGAAAATTTTTTTTTCATTTTTAGTTGACATGTAATAATTTTACATAGTTATGGGATAAAGGTGATATTTGAGTTATGTATACAATGTGTGATGATCAAATCAGGGTAATTAGCGTGGTGAGAACCTGGGATATTTGCTATTTTCCCTTTATGATTTTCATCTTCCCCCCAAATTTTTACTTTACACTAACACATGTTACAGCAAACACACAGTATATTTGTGTTCATAAAAATGATATTAAAATCAATATACGCAAAAATATATGCAAAATTCTTTCCTCTAGCTATTTGGAAATATATAAGACATTGACATTAACTGTATTTACCCTCTGGTGCTGTAGAACACTAGGACTTATTCCTCCCATCTATCTGTAATTTTGTATCCATTAACCAACCTCTTCCTCTTCTCCCCTCTCTCATCTTCTAATAACCATAATTCAATTCTCTACTTCTATGAGCTCAAGTATTTTTTAGCTTCCACATATGAGTGAGAGCATGCAGTGTTTAAATCTCTGGGTCTAGCTTATTTCACATAATATAATGTCCTCTAGGCTCATTCACGTTGCAATGAATGACAGACTTTCATTCTTTTTTATGGCTGAAGAATATTCCATTGTATATATACCGCATTTTCTCTATCTGTTCATTTGTTAATAGTTAATATATAGGTTAATTCTATACCTTGGCTATTGTCAATAGGACTGTAATAAATATGGGGATGCAGATATCTCTTTGATATGCTGATTTCTTTTCCTTTGGATAAATACCCTTTAGTGGGATTGCTGGATCATATGGTAGCTCTATTTCTAGTTTTTTGAGAAATTTTTGTACTGTTCTCCATAGTGGCTGTACTAATTTACATTCCCATCAACTGTGTATAAGAGTACTCTTTTCTCCACATCGTCTTCAGCATTTGTTATTTTCTGTCTTTTGGATAACAGTCATTTTAACTGGGGTGAGATGGTACGTCCTTGTGGTTTTGATTTGCATTTCCCTGATAATTAGTGGTGTTGGGTATTTTTTCATATGCTTGTTGGCCATTTGTACATATTCTTTCTAAAAATGTCTCTTCAGATCCTTTGCTTATTTTTAAGTTGCATTATTTGTTTTTTGCAGTTGGGTTGTTTGAGTTTCTTGTTTATTCTGGAGATTGTTCCTTTGTTGGATGAATGGTTTCTGAATATGTGCTCCCATTCTACAGATTGCCTCTTTACTCCATTGTTTCCTTTGCTGTGCAGAAGCTTGCCAGTTTGCTATACCACACTCGTCACTTTTCCTGTTGTTGTCTGTGCTTTTTAAGTATTATCCATAAAACTTTTGCCTAGACCAGTGTCCTGAAGCATTTCCCTTACATTTTCTTCTTTCAGTTATATAGTTTGGGGTCTTATATTTAAGTTTTTAATCCATTTTATTTATTTTTATATATAACAAAAGATAGGAGACTAATTTTTAAAGTAATTAATTACTCTTAAAACCAATAGAAAATATAGAAAATGTTGGAATAATTCTATTCTAGGAAAGTTATTTTTAACAATGAAGAACAATACTGCATAGAGCTACTGGAATCTTGGTATTCTGTGCATATAAAACCCATATTAAGTATCCTGTGTTATTGTGACAGAACTAGAAACTAATAAAATTAGTGGCGGATATTAACCTAAATCATGCCTCTCTTTATGTCATCTTTTACCTAGTACTTATTCATATCCCTTATAAGTATACTTAAAAATTAGTGGGTGCGTTTTTCTTTCAACTACATAAATTACATGAAAATAAACGTAAGAAAATGTAATAAAATATTTACTGTGGAAGGTGAGACATGGGAGATTTGCAATTTTCCCTTTATGATTTTTATTTCCCCCCCCAATTTTTTACCCTACACTAACACATATTACAGTGAACTCATACTATATTGGTGGTCATAAAATGATATTAAAATCAATATATACAATTGGATGTATTCCATATGACTAGAACCTTGTCAACAATGTACTAAAAATAACTGTGAAAGTAATTACAACAGCTTTACAATGGTTACTTCTGGATTACAGCACTATGGGGGATTGTTTTAATCTCCTCCTACTTTTTCTGTATTTCCCAAATGTTCTATGATGAGCACATGATATTTTTATAGTGGATAATAAAAAATAAAATAAAACAAATCTAGGGGGCATGGATCAGCATGGCAGAGATGAGTAGGGCAGAGAGAACTGTTCCAGGTTTGAAGCCAACAGAAGCTCTCAAGGAGTTTCTGGTAACTTTCTGCCCTAATCATCCCCTTGCTGTGACAGCCACAGGCTCCCTCCTGCGGCTCCTGAGATCACTTTTAAATATGTACGTATGTGTGTATGTAAGGGCATATGTGTGTACATATGTGTGCATATGTATATATATATTTACATTAAGAGTACACAAATATAATCTCACTGCAGACATATAGACATTACAGATAAAGCTAAAGGTCTCTCTTGATTTTCAGCCCCAATTTTTGTCTCCAATCCAGATGTGTGTTTGATCATTATACTTTATAGATGTGAGTTCGCCACAGTAAAATCACAACTCATTCAGACATTTATACCTGCAATTATACACATAGCTGTTCATATAGAATTTGACAATATTGATTTATGTTCATGTGTTTGTATAACTGGTATTTTAACATTTGCATCGTCTTCTCAAACATATCTCATGGAGAACTTTCTCTGGCCATCCACCTAACTCTATATTTTCACTTAGTGTGAGTAACAAGGTTGTGAACAATCATTTGTTTCTTAATTAAGAAAAATGGGCTGGGCATGTTGGCTCACATCTGTAATCCCAGTACTTTGGGAGGTCAAGGAAAGAGGATTCCTTGAGACCAGGAGTTCAAGACCAGCCTGAGCTGGTCATACCGAAACCCAATCTCTACAGATAATACAAAAATTAGCCGGGCAGGGTGGCACATGCCTGTAATTCCAGCTACTCCTGAGGCTGAGGTGGAAGGATCACTTGAGCCCAGGAGGTCAAGGCTACAGTGCACCACTACGCTCCAACTTGGCCAACAGCCCAGACTCTTTCTCAAGAAAAAAAAAAAAGAAATATTATTAACTTTAGGCATTCTGCAATTGGTATCAACTTTTCATTGTTACAAAAGAAATCTAGCAATGAATATGCTTCCTACATACATTTTAAATGGTTCTCTGTGGAGATATCAAAAATTAACAAAATGTAAGGCATGTGTATTTTTAATTTAAAAGATACTGCCCTCTAATGCCTTCCCATGAGTCCTTGCACTAGCAGTGTTGAAAGAGTACCCATATCTTTCCCCACACTTCATATGATTAAACTTGCTGTGTTTTTTTGTTTTGTTTTGTTTTGTTTTTGCCAGCCTTGTCATATTGAAAGTATTTCATTGTTGTTGATTTCCCCTGATTACCAGTGAGGTTGCATCTAAATTTTTTGACTTTCAAAGTTTGCATCTCTCCACCTCACCTCTCAATCTGCCCTAATCATCTTAACCCCTGTTACTCAGGTTGGTATCACCAGCTGTCTGACCCAGATGCTGTGAGCACAGAAAATGAGTAAGAACTTTCGTTAGTAACTTTTATTTGGCTGTTCATAGCACAGCAGGGAAAGACGCATGGCTATGGAATTTCAATCTGTCCTTTCTTGGCCACTTCCCCAGCAGTTGCCTTTTGC